CTTTTATACACAAACTGCTAACATTAGTCAGAAAATAAAAATCCAATCGTAACTACCCCCCTCCCCAGGTTTTAAAATCACTTACAGCTACGCCAGTGAAATTCTATTCTGCTTGCACAAACCTGATAATATTCATGAATCTTGTTAAGAAATTTATCTTAATTTACCACAGAATAATTGCTTCGAATAAAGATAAAGAATTGTAAACGGTCTATCTCAACGTAAAGTCGAGATAACAGACTAGTCCGCCATGCAAATAAAACTTTTTATTGGCGTATAGTAAAATCAATCTAAAATCTCGCTCGTAAAATAATTCAAACCTAATACAGAATACGGTGTTATGTTACATTATCAATTTTATTTCTACTGAATGAAGTCAAATTCTAAATATGATAGGTGCATTTATGGAATTCGATAAATTTCGGATATTTTCGCAAAAGAATTTTGGTACAATCACTTGATGAAATATAATGCTTTCAGCTAAAATGCGCAATGACCGTCGTCAAACTTTGTAAACACTATCAATTAGAACGTTGACTTAAGATGTCAGTTTTCTCAAATAAATTTATCTTCCTTTAAAGTTTAAAGACAACACTTTATTGTTTATTTCTATATTTTAAGTGCATATTGTATATCATTTGTACACCATAGGTACTGGTACATTATTTTTACGTCAGACCTCTTGTGTGTCGAATGATGACGTAGTTTATACAACGTTGTATTTTTTTTTAAAACAGACCGTTTTCCCTTTTTTTCTGAATGAAAGAAACCGGACACTGCTTGTTTTATTTAAAAAAAGTTCTATAAACACCAGAAAGTATACATAAGAGGGTTTTAATAAATTGCGTCGCGCACACATGTACGCCTACAAACATAAATTTTGCCTTGCCGGATCGAACTAGCTACCCATGGACTACAAATCCAATGATCTCCTTATTGTGCTTATCGGGCCGATAGATTTATATGTGTATTGAACCATAGAAGCAACTGATTAAATTTGTGACCAGTTTGTGATATACTGATTCGACCGTAAATGTAACGTGTTTCAAATGTGACATAATAATCTTAGTATTTTTCAATTTTCACCGAAACGAGTATGAAAAAAACTTTAAAATACAAATTTATATTTTTGCGAAGCTCATTTAAAGAAAGGGTCAAATTACACTCATCATCATACCCCTAGCAATAGTTTACCTAAGGCAAGGACAGTCATAATTATAACATAAAACAGGTACGTGTCGTGCGCGTGCTGTTTTCGGTCGAATGTATTATTTGGTGGACTCGCGTTACATTTAGTTCCGTATATATGTATGGATACACCATCAATAGCCGTATTGATCATGGGCCTGTTTTTTGCGGGAAAAGAAATTTGATCAGACGATTCATTTATATGCGTTATATGTTACATACTTATATAATACATTAGATTGATTTATGCATTGTGAGAGCAGGAGAGTTTCCGATTATGCTTTTCTTTATTCAATTTTTACCATTTTAAAAAATACTCGGGATGAAGACTCGAAGAGGGCTTTCAGACAAAAGACATTTTCGCTGGGCCGCTAGGTTGCCGGTCTGTGAGACCGCTAGACTGTTAGACCGCCGAAGTCACGCCGCTTGGTCGCTAGGCCGCCAAATTCGAGCAGCTAGGCCGGTAGACCGCCAAGTTCATGCCGCTTTGTCGCCAACTTCACATCTCAAATATTCGCCTGTCTTTTCAGCGATTCGTTTCTTTTCTTAAACTTAAAGGCACATTATGCTTCAGAAATCATTTTTATTCTTTTTTTTTTAAGAAATGGCAAACCTGCGTTTTATAACGTTCAAATAAGGGTTTGATAGCATTATTAGATACTTATTATAACCTTAAAATGTATCGCTGAATGTGAAATTATTTGTTTAAATGTAGCAAAAATGTAAACAAAGTAGTATTTTGACTTCCATACAAAATATTTCATCACTCTATTTGTATCAATTGCCAAAACGCAACCGAAGCAAAAATATGGTTCATGCATTTAGCCAATGAGTATATTTTTTGGAAATTATACCACGACAACAAAAATAGACAAAAGTAGATTTTTTTTTTTAGAAATAAGAATAATGCATTTCTTGGACTTAATGGGCCTTTAAGCATACGTCATAAATGTAATGTACGTACAAATAGTTATAGTAATTACTAAAATTCAATCATACTCAGCAATTTCTGATACTTATCTTCTCAAATGGGTTTAACACATTAACACATAACGGCGTGTTTACATTATTTAAAATTTATATGACGTCATATGATGTGATTATGACATTTAGGAGTTTACGGTAGCAGGGGAATTGCACTTAAAAGGTACTTAATGACTAATCAATGATTGTTTTATTAATTTATAGAAGCCAAGTAATTTTGCTGATTGCGGAATTGATATTCTATAAATCTACGGAAGCGAGTAAGTGTCTCTTCGGCTCACCTATATGGAAATAATTCCAGCGATGACGGTTAAAAACAACAACAAACACACACAAAATAATCTCGATCTTAACACACGTTTTAATCGGTTTCTTCGGGACAAATAATGCTGATTACTGCAAAAGATGGTATTTGATGGGCGTGAGAGGTATTGCTGTACACCTCTCATGAACGGACTCAAGCAAACCGATACATCAATTTCCACTCATTGTTTGTGTTATTGTAATAGTGATAGTGACCAGATTTCGATTCAAAAATTATCAACAAAACACATTAACCCTCATTGGAGAGGTCATCAGACCTCTCCATAGTGTTCAGACTGATTGCTGGCGGCATCCATTTTTGCGTATCTGATTGTAGTAAATGAATGTCATTTACAGCTTAAAACCATTAGGAGCAGTCTACAAAATTTGTTTTGCGCATGCTCCGTTTCAAAATACGACTTAACTTAAAAGAAAATTTGACCTTTTTCGAAAACCTAGCTAAACATCGTTTTACGGTACGTTACGGAACATCAAAGTGAACGAATCGATCGGTACAAAGAAAAATCGGAAAATATTATTTACGTTACATAGCGCTACGTGGATGTTTCATTCCGTTTTAATCTTTTAAACTGTATAAATCGATTACAGTATTGTTTTCTTAATAGCGTTTTACTATTTCTTGTTCCGATAAATAGTAACAGTAACGATAAATAGTAACAGTGAACATTATAGCTACATTAACACCATGCACTACTATACGACCGAGTGAACCGTGTACCGCGTGTACAAAGTTCTTTTGAACTGGTATGACTAAGTAACGCAACGGGGATTTTTTGGCGCAAGTGGCACAAATTTGACACACGTTTGATTTTCTTAAAATATTGTGGTTGGAGGCATGCAGCTTTATATTCTGTTTATTCCAATCAAATGATATAAAACATTTTTACGTAAATCCTGGACTTAAAATTATCTGATTAAAACATACTTTATGCCCGTTTTGGAAAATGTAGAGGAAATGTTTTCATATACATGTCATGTACTTACCAAAACATTAACCGAAAATATGCTTATTGAATTTTACAAGAAACTTTTATTTTGACACTACTTTTAATATACATATCATTTATTTTAAATTTAGTTCCCTCTGTATAAAAAGTATCCCTAATGCGTCAAGGAAAATAATCCATTTCTCCAGCATATAATCTTTCAAAACATTAAAAAATGAAGTGTAAACAAACTTTCATTATGATACTATATATTCAATTTATATAATAAATTATATTTTGTTAAATAATTGTAATTTATAACCATTCGTTGTGTCTTATTTCCAAATATTTTCAAATTAAACAAATCTTCCACAGCAGCAAAAAGACCTCTCGCATGCCTTCTTTTTAAAGAAGCAAACTTGTATAAATACGTTTGCTTTTTTTATGAACAACTAAATGATTAACAGTTTCCTGCGTCTATTAATATATTTTCTCAACTTTTCAAAGGGTACTGCTGTATTTTCTTTATTACAATTTAAAAGCGATAGCGCATTAGTACATGTTCTCGCAAATAATATTTTAGTCATGTCGAAAGTGACTCACACGTAAGGTAAAAAGACACATAAATTGTGTAGATCTGTAGACTCTATAACAAAACTTTCAAGAATGTCTAGTTCTTGTTATTATTGATAAGTTATAAGTTTATCATTCTCAGAATTCTTTAATGAGCTGTTTATTCCACATATAAGTCAAATATATCACACATATTCGATTTATGATCTGGTCGAGACTACTTTTTTCAACCCTGCGAATTCAAGCCAAGTCTAAAGTTGGTTTAGGAGATGCTATATGTACAGGAAGATCTATAAAACTACAAATAAGGATAACCATCATCATCATCACCATCACTTCTATCACCATCATCTTCATCATCATCTTCTTCATCATCATCATCATCGTCGTCGTCGTCGTCGTCGTCATCATCATCATCATCATCATCATCATCATCATCATCATCATCATCATCATCATCATCATCATCACCACCATCATCATCATCATCATCATCATCATCATCATCATCATCATCATCATCATCATCATCATCATCATCATCATCATCATCATCATCATCATCATCATCATCATCATCTTCTTCTTCTTCTTCTTCTTCTTCTTTCTTCTTCTTCTTCTTCTTCTTCTTCTTCTTCTTCTACATCATGATCATTAATTATTTATCAACCAAACCGAGTGCGGATATTCCGATATCATCGAGATCAGAAGCAGAAGTAGCAGCAGTAACACTACAAACAGTTACAAAAACATCTGCTTCATAATTGCCATCATCTCAACCTTTTTTAAAATCATTTTCGTTATCACGTTTGTCATGGTTCATCCTAATCGTCATCATAGTCATCTTTATCATCATCATCGTCGTCGTCGTCGTCGTATCCATAATAATCACCAATTTTCGTCATCACCACCTACATCATCATAACCACCACCATCATCACCATTATAATAACCGGTATCGTTTTTGCCATCACTAAATACATAATCATCATCATCATCATCATTTTAATCACCGGTACCGTTTTCGTCATCACTGCCTAAATCACCACCATTTTCATCTTTATCATCATCAGCATCATCACCAAAATTATCCCCGGTATCGTTTTCGTCATCACTACCTACATGACCACCTTTATAATCATCATCATTATTACCATTTGAATCACCCAAATAATCCCCGGTATCGTTTTTGTCATCACTACGTACATCACTACCACCACCATCATCATCATCACCGTAATAATCACCGGTACCGTTTTCGTCATCACTGCCTACATCACCACCATAATCATCATTATCATCATTACCATCATCACCAAAATTATCCCCGGTATCGTTTTCTTCATCACTACCTACATGACCACCTTTATAATCATCATCATCACAACCACCTACATCATCATTATCACAACCACAATCATCACCACAATAATAAGCGGTATCGTTTTTGTCATCACTGCCTACATCACCACCTTCTTCATCATCATCATCATCATCATTATCATCATCATCATCATTATCGTCATCATCACCACCACCACCATCATCATCACCATAATAAACACAAATATCGTTTTCGTCATCACCACCTATACAACCACCTTCTTTATCATCATCATAATCATCATTATTAATTATAACCACCGTTATCATCATCACTTTCGTCGACACAATCATTACTTTCATCTTCATTATCATTATCATCATCATATGCATCATTATTATCAATATTATCATCATAATCATCATTATCATCATATCTATCATTTTTATCACCATAGTAATCACCATCATTGTTATTATCATCATTCATCATCATTATCAACGTTTACACAATGATGAAACTTATTGGAACTCCTTATCTTACTTTGATACAATATGAATTACCTAGTCCTTCATTTTGTTTATAAATATTGTCTACATTTATGAAAAAATCGGATGTACTTTCTACATACTTAATAATTTATCATATTTGGTCATTAGCTAGGGCGTACTCCATTAAAATATCATGTTCGATTTTCAACAAGGATGCCAGAGTAGCTTCCCTTAAACTACTTTTTTTAAAATTTGACTTTTGGTAGTCCTAGGTAATTAAGTGGTGAAATGTAAAGCTGAACTATTCAAAAACAATTTAGATAAGATAGAATGAGAACATTTTTTTCAGCCAAGCAGCATATAATCAGAGCAGTAATTGGTTTAACCGTCACTTTACAATTACAAAATGATTTTTCATGAGCTGGAAGACTACAGAAAATTGTGCAAAAATGTGAAAAATGCTCTTAAACCGAAATGAAACAGAAGGGCATTTCTTCGTACACGCATTTATGTGTGTTTCTTTAAAAGAAAAAAAACCAACGGGAATTGGTTGTTTTCAAAACTTCTATTTCTTTTTAGTTTACTAAAAAGTTACTGCAAATTCTACGCTGAAATATTTAAGTTGACGAAATTCAAAGTAAAAGGGTAAAAACTGACTTCATTCAAAGTAAACTTAAATAAAATTTGAAGAAAGTATGGTGTTGATGGCATTTATTTATTTATTTATAATAACGTATGCGAAAAAGAAATTCCTTGAGTTGTTCTAGTATATGTAAAAAAGAGAACATTCCTGGGAAATCCATTGGAGTAAATACGTTTCGTTTTATTCTTGCACGCTTATTTTATAAAAAGAGAATTTATTTTATTCAGTGGATTTACAAGAAATATTTTCTTTACAAAAACCAATTCATAAACATAAATTCGTATATATGTATTGATAGTGAAATACCTATCGAATATCTATATATATCGTTACATAAATAGATTTTCGTAATTTTATAGAACGCGATGTTTGATATGTTTATAGGTTAATGAGAGTTTCCGGTTCTACATACGTCCGAATATTGAGTGACGTCCGATTAGTGTTACACAGTTGGACGTTAGATTGATATAAGCGGCTTCCGTTAAGCGTCCCGGTGTTAGTAGTAATAAGAAACACGTGTAACAACGCAAAGAATGTATTTTATCGTGAGAGCTTTGTTAGCAACAGAGAGATGATTTGAGTGGTATATTTTAGTAGTGTAATGTTGATTGATATGGTAAGTATTATACCCGCTATGAAATTGACAAGATTTCAAATTTATCGCAGTTGAATGCGTGCAAATACATCAGTCAAAATAGGCCTTTGCGATGATATCTTAACAAATGAAATGTACACTTTTTTCCACAAGCCCTGAAAATAAATACTCCAGATATTTGCTTGATATGTATCATAAGTATTTTTGGCGAATCATAGTTGGTGAATACGGTTGGTTTTTGAAGTGGTAAATTGGTCATTAACGCCGTAAATGATCATTAAATTCTCGTTTGTCTCTTTAATGCCGAAGTACAGCAAGAGATAGGGAAGCGGTACGATGGAAATTGACATAAATTTACAAAAAATGAAGGAAAAAAATGGAGAAAAAAAAGAAAAGAAAGAAAAAAGTCATGGGTTGCTATTTGCAAAGTTAGCGTTCTCAAATTGGTAGTATAAAACGATCAATATAACAGGATGATTCTACAATTATATAGTGTAACGTATTCCTACGACTCGCGTGATTTTAGTTGATGCAACTCTGGACGGAAACCTGATTATTTTTATCACAGTTGTTTCCCTTTGTATGTGTTTTTACTTGGGTTTTAGTATTCGTTGGGATATAATTTTCTTTTAATTTGTATTTAATTACAAAGGAATTAACCTCATGAATTTCTTTTTTCCTTATCTTATTTATCAATATAAAACGTTCATTAATAACTAATTAAAAAATGATTGTCATCCAATATTTATCGAATCTAGTTCTTAGCAAAATTATTGCGGTCACAATTTTTTTCATCAGGGAGTTAAAGATTATTGAACTTGTATTTGAACATTTTGAAAGTGCAAATTTCAAAGAACTTTATCATGTTATCATAATTGATTTTTTTATCTGTCGATGGTCATTGAATAATTCTAGTAGTACTTTTACTGTTGTAATGACATTTATGTTATTAAACGTTTAACAAACTTTATTTATCATAAAACGATGTTTGTTTATCAAGATTTTTAAGTTTATAATTGAAGTTTTTCATTCCGTTACTTTAACATATTCCATAGCGCCAAAGTTCGATCTGTCTGTCTGTCTGTGTGTCTGTCTGTCTGTCCTTACATATGACATACAGATTACATTCTTGAAAGAGACCCAACCGATTACATAACATTTGAAATTTAAAAGAGTATAATCATTTGGCCATTAAAATTCATCAATGTTTTCTTTAAAGCATAATACCTTAAGTGAATGGTGATCCATATGTATTAAATAAATAAATTTTGTTTTGACAAATTTATCGTTAAAATATTGATCGGGAAAGCAACAGCAGTGTGTGCTATATACTATATAGTACAAGTATCCGCGCAAAACAAAGGGTTATCGGACCTTAAAGAAATATTCATTGTGATGAAATATTGTTCACTTTGGTAATGTTTAAATTTGACATCCTACCCGAGAGTTACGCATCTTGACTTTGTCAAAACTAAAGCATTTTATATAAGGCTTGTTAAAAATGAAAGAAGAAAGATGGTGTGTACTGTTGTTAGTTTATATACTTAAGTTATAGTCAAAGTTCAACCAGAGTTGTCTCCCGTGACTAAGACAAAATTTAGACGTCCTTACCAATACTGCTAAAGTTGCAATTTTATTTGGACGGGCTTTGGAAATAAATTGACTGAAGGACATAGTTAAACTGTATCAGGACTTTGATAAAAAATTTCACACATTCATTTAGTTATAGATTCAAGTGTTTGACATTTTATTATGTGTAATCAAGGTTGTTGATCCTGTAAATTGAACCGCTTCCATTGGGCCACAGTTCAAACACTGCTTCCCGGCTAAAGACGTTCCTGAAAGACAAATTATTTAGCCACATAACACCTAATTTAAACAAAATATATTACAGAAGTAATTATTACTTATCAATAAAATCTAGGAGACTAAGAATATTATTAAAGAAAGTTACAGAAATAAAAAAATGAATATTGAAAATAATATAAATTTATGAAAATAAATAAAAAGATAAATCAGTAAAAGTATTTCTTATGGTTATTTACTTGACCTGTATTAAACTTGTTTCTTCTGTCTAGCTCTTCAATTTCAAGAGGTCTCAAGGCCCTGTGTTCTACCGACATGTAGCCAGAAATATTTTAATCATTCACAATCATTTTGGTATAATTTTATATGTAAACTATCTGCTTTGGAATAAACTCGAACAGTTTCAATACAATTTTTCAATTATTTTTATGATTAAAACATAAAGTTATAGATTGAGAAATAATGTCATAAACATGTAATAACATTGACAGGGTATGCATTTATTCATAAATATTTGCCACAATGTTTGTTTAAAGTTTATATGCACATTATTATCAAAATACAACTAATTTAATAAATATATAAATAAATGCATCAGATTATATTTAAAAAGTTTCTATACTAACACCAGCATTTTCAAAAAAAGATGAATAAATACAATTTTAATGAAAAAAAAAAATATAAAAAAATGTGACCATGTATTAAAGGTAGTCGGTGAAAACAGGTATGCTTATCCTTTATTACAAAGATAGGGGGAAAAGTGACATATTTCTTTCACAGGTGGACTTTATTCATAACAGGCTTCAGCTATCAGTTTGCATTTTTTAAATATAAGAAAACAGAAATAGTTCATAAACCGCCTGCCATCTTACTGTTTGTTCATTTTTTTCAGCTACGTTACTTAAACCGCTTTTCTTGTATTTAGTCGAAACAGGAACTCAACTATTCATTACCAAAGCTATGGCAGTACGTGTTTTATACAGAGTGGCATATTTACGGCGCGCAACTGCCAAAAAGATGTTTTATGTGGTTTCAACTTATATTTTTCTTCGTTCCTATCGCGCTCCTGTCCTACATTTAAATTAATTTATTGACCTTGCGATCCCTGATGGAAAGAAATACCGCATATTGCAAAGTGAACGCTAGTAAATACACCCCTCATTGATTACTTGAGATGTTACAACAAGAAGCCGAGTTATTTTGGCAAAAAGGCAAGGTTTCATAATGTATTTCCTAGATTTTCCTTTGTCATTCTTTTTAAGCTGTTGTTGCTGAACAATTCATATGATAATTCTATAGTTTCCGTTGACCGCAAGTATGTAATATAAATCAAAGTCAGGGTTGTATCTTGTCGGAACCTACTTGGTTTATCATTTTAACTTTGTAGGATTTGGTTTTCTTACGACTTGTTTTTCAAATTTAGATAATATATGCGTTATAATATTGTTACAGAAGAAAAGTGCAAACAGAACTAAAATGAGAACATCGTCTGCCTGACCATCTAAGCACAACACTGGCAGCATTTTTTTTGCTAATTTAGAAGTTGATATAAGCTCGCGAAGGATAAAGGAAAAAAGAGCAGTAAATAGCTATTAAGAAAACAACATCTCTATATAGCTTTTTATTTTGTTTCTTTGATTTTTTTTCTTTTGCATTTTATGTTTATTTGATAATCTTATCTAAAGTGACATCTATAAAAAATATTACCAAAGTTTAAGGAGTCTTTAAATAGTTGTTGAGGTCTTACCAACTTTCAAAATTGATATCTTATGCAATTGGTTTTTCATATTTAAAGAAATCGATTTCAAAGCATTGGATATGTATTATTTTCTGTAAGTTATAATTATATGCATGCTTCCTCATATGTACTTAATGCCCTTTTTTAGTTATTATAATTAATACTATTATCGTCTGCCGCGTGCGTCTATTTTCTTTGATCAAGCTAAATCACGTCTGCTTG